GGGAACAGGGGAAGCCCCCTGCCTCCTTCGCCCAGTGCAGGGTCAGGCAACTGGAGCAAACACCTGTAGGTGTATCAAGAATAAAAGAATCCAAAGGGATAACTAAAAATGGTAAAGAGCTAACCAAATTAATGCCTCATACCTGTGCAATGGTACCTAACAAGGTTCTATGGAGAAAACAGTTAATATGAATGGACAAATCCTTTCCATGCTGTGTGAAACCTTGTCTATGATTGATTTAATATATAATGTCAAACTTCCTTTGTATGTTTTACAGATGTGAAACCCACTTGAAAGATACCTGAAGAAGCAAAGGCCAGCTATAGCTGTAAGATTCTTGGGAGTTTTATTTAGGGAATTTTATTTAGGTTGGGTAAGATGAGGACAGAGACTCCCAAATTCTACAACTGTTAAGAAAATCTACAGTACCAGGGGTGGGTTCCCCTCTATGAGCTGTCAGTCAGAGAGTGATCCTAGAGGTCCTCCAATTCACCAAGGCTATTGCCATTAATGTCGGTTTTACACTAGAAAGGTTGGTAAGGCCATGTTGCTGAAGACACTGCATGTTGTGAGCCTGGGAAAAGAAGAAGAGGTGGAACTGAGACTAAGCCAAAAAACTCCGTGCCACTGGATGGATGATGTTCACATTGATGTGGATGGCTGGGGAAGAAAGGATCCCCTACAATTCTACTCAACGATGAACCCCACGTGCTTCACACTATGGACCTGCCAAGAAATACCTGCAAGTGTAATAATGGCTCAACCAACACACATGCAACTGACAAATTTCTAATTGGATAAGGCCCGCTCCTAGGGATGGAACACACATCTGGTGCTGTAGACCAGGCCACGCCTTGCATCAAGATAGGCTACAGGCCCTAGTGGAGAAGCCATCATGAGTATACAGTTTAATGAGTATAGTACACCTACTGGGATTCTTCTAGGCATTTGTATTTACATTCATGTTTGTTTAAATGTGTCTACTTCCTTCCATTTGTCTTTATAGTAGAAGAAACACCACTGAGATAGATCAGTGGCCATGGCCTAAAGATGACTAATGGGGAGGCCCAAGAAGCCACTATCTTGCCATGATACAAGAGAGATTGCCCTACATCTGTCACCCCCTCCAAGGCTCAGGGATCTTAGGGGAAGATGGGCGGGAAGATTGTAAGAGTGGAGGAAAGGGTTGGAGTGTCTCCCAATTGGCTAGTTCCTCCAAGGGGCGGGGCCTGCCACAGAGCATGGACTAAGGAAGGGCGGCTGGGAGCCATCTTGGGATGGAAGCCATAAGCCATGGGTAGCATGCATGGCAGCGAGCATGGTGTGGGGAACATACAGCCGTGCAGCAGCTCAAGGACAGAATGTCCTGACTCTTATGGACCTGGGATGAGATTGCTGGCCCCTGAGGCATGAGTGAATGCTAGCGGTAACTATGGGCATGGTGCAGTCTGATATGGTGGGCTCTGAGCCGTGGCATGGGGCTAGGCACTGGGTACTCATTCCTTTGTAAGTTAATAAATAAATGCACATAAAGGTACGTTATATGGCTTGCTTAATAGCGCAGGAGACCCAGAGGGAACTTGAGCGACATATGCTCATCTGTGTTTACTTTTATTTATATTATCTTTGTCTTGTTTTCTCACAGATTACAGGAACATTGTTTTGAGTAAATCCTTTGAAAGAGAAGCAGGGGCGCTATCACCATGTAGCCTTAGATAGCCTGGAACTCAGCATATATGTAGATCAGGTTGGCCTTGAACTCACAAAGCTCCACCTGCTTCTGCCCTCAGTACTGGGATTAAAGTTGTGCGCCACCATGTCCAGCAGTCTATGGTTTTGAATGATTGCTCTACTGGTATAATTTTACACATTCAGATAAAGTATGAAAGGTCAAAATCTTATCTTCTTTACTTTTTCCCTTAAACATTCTCTTTATATTTTAGGGCCGTGGCAGGTAGTGTTAGTTTTTGCTTCAACCATCAAGTATCATTTAGGAAACTGAGATGTCTATCACACTTATCCTTGTATTTGCTCGCCATGATCTTACCTTTCTCATGTGCTAAGCTTCTGCCTTCTATTTCTTTTATTTTCATCATTCCCTTAGGCAGGATTGCCGGATATATATAAAATTTCCCTTTATTTTAGATGGCTTGATTGTCCCCTTATTCTCAGAGATTCTGAGTGTGTTTTATTCAGCAGCTTTTGAAAAATGTGCTTTCTTTTGGCCTCCATGACTCTGATGAGAACTCCAGTATCATTCAAATTGTTTTTTCTCTACAAGTGTTATTTCTCACTACTTGCAAGAAGTTTTGTCTTTCTCAGACTCTATGATGTGTTTGGGTATGCATTTCTTTGGGTTATTTGGAGCTCAATCAGTTTCCCTGTTCTTTGCAAACCTCTGCATGTTTTAGCCACTATTTCTCTGGGTACTCCTTCAGCCTGCCCTCTACTCCTGCTTCTCTCATGACATAAAGTTAGCTCTCTGTCACAAGTCACACAGCCTCTGAATCTCCTGGCTTTTTGTTGTTTTGGCCTCCAGTCTATTTTCTCTGTTTTTCATACTAAATAATTTCTACTGAGTATTTCTAATCAACCCAAATCTGTTCATTAGCTCTTTCTTCTGTTGCTTCTGTTCTGCTGGTGAGCTCATTCATTGAGTTTTTAAATTTCAACGATATTTTTCAATACTAAAATTGTCATTTGGATCTAGCTTGTCTTACTGGGGCTTTTTACATTATCATTTGTTTCAAACATGATCCTGTTGCTCAGTGAAGAATTTTAATAATGGCTGTTTTACTAAGTCACTGTAGTAAGTGAAAGGCATTTTGACACTTGAGTTTTGGTTCAGGAATCTCATTTTGTTGTCTGAAGTATGTTGGAAACATTTGCAGGTACAGTGGTCTATATAACACTGGCCTGTGGGGAAATCAAACCCATGACCTTGCCATTCTAAGTACTGCACACTAACCAACTGAGCTAGCTGATTATTACTGATGGTCATTTGAGATCTGTAACAGATAATTCTAATGCACCTGTCACCTCACTGTGGCACTTATGGATTGCCTTTATCACCTAGTTTTACTTTTTCCAGGCTCTTGGCATATGATCGTCAATTGAAACCAGGGCATTCTGGAGACTGTTAGGAGACTAGATTTATTTAAATCTTTCTCAGCTGGCTCACTCTGAAATCACTCCAGCAAAAGTGCTGGATGGGGTTTAAGTCCAGGCTGCCCCATGGTTCCAATGACTAACTGAGGAGAGGTGGTTAGTTGCTGCCAGTAGGTGCCTTCCCTGTCTTTCTGACACTACAGTGGTGATAGAAAAGAGGTTATAGGGTGTCTCATTATGGCCTAGTGTATTGAAAATCTAGGCTCTCCTCTGGATCTCTGGGGCATGCATGGAGGTTGGAGTCTGCTATGCTTTTCTATGGCATAACTGCAGTGTTTACTCTCTAAATGTGTTGCATTGCTAGGTTATCCCTTTCTTGCTCCTATCACTAGAGAACAGGCTGTGCATGTTTGTGTACATGCATGCAAACACATGCTTTTTGGTGCTTCTGAAGTACTATCTTCAGCTGTAAGCCTGAGCAAAAGGAAAACAGGGAATTTAGCACTGGTTGGTGCCTTGGATCTTGAGGCCCTTACCAAGATCTCTGCCATCTCTCTACATTTCAGTCTTGCCCTGGTTTGTTACATAAATAGTATGTAGGGATTTTAATTGTACTTAACTAGGGCTTAGAGAAAAACACATGTATTCCACCTCCTCAGAAGTCCAAGTCTCCACACAGCCTTATTTTAAATTGCTGTAGGTTTTCTCTGTTTTGTTTTTGAGATGAGGTCTCATTATATTGCTTAGGTTGGTCTTAGGCTCATGGACTCAAGCAATCCTTCTACCTCAGCCTCTGAGTACTAGGACTACAAGCGCATATTCCTCTGCCTGGCTAAGTTATTTTTGATAACTGACATTTTAAAGCCCTTGAGATAAGTTCTGTATGTGCATGTTCATCTATGTGTGGTGGGGGTGTGTACACAGAGGCCAGAGGACCACCCCAGGTGCCATTCCTCAGGAGCTATCCATCTTTTCTTGAAACAGGGTCTTTCACCGGCTTGGAATCTCCAAGTAGACCAGGCTGTCCCTTTCTTGCTCCTATCACTAGAGAACAGGCAAGCCCAGGGATCTACCTGTCTCTGCCTCCCAGAACTGGGATTATAAGCTTGTACCACCACATGTGGCTTTTGGTTTTTAAAACAGGTGTTCTGAGGATTTAACTTGGGTTTTCATGTTTGTGCATCAGACACTTTAGCAACTGAGTTCTCGCTCCAGCTCTAAGTTTTGTTTTTAAGCAAATTTATTTTTTTCTGCTTTCACTTGTGGGAACAACTGGGGCTAGCAAATGGGAGCTGCACCGATCCTTTCCAAGGGTTCTGGTTTCACAGAGTTGTCAAGTTCCCTTTCCTGTCTGGTGACAGGAGTACTCCAGGGCTGGCTGTTTAATTCCAGAGCTACTGTTCTATTCGCACCCCAGGATATCAGGGCCATCTCTTTTCAGGACAGTCAGCAGTTTCAGCTCACAGTGCGCCTGCCTTCTTTCTTTCTGGGAGAGGGGCTGGTACTTTCCAAAGACTTCCCTTCAAATAATAATAATAGCAATTTTATTTTCAATCTAGGACATAGTTGTATTGTTGTTAAAAGACCCAAACTACTGGTAGACTTGATGGTGCATACCTCTAATTCTAGCTCTAGGAAGGCTGAGGAGGATCTCAAGTTCCAGACCATTCTGGGTTACATAGTGAGCCTCTGTCTCAAAAAACAAAAGAAATGCAATCCAAAAATTCAATAATGAATGCTAATACCTGAGTGCCAGGTTTCGACGTGTTTATTACATTTATTTACTCATAGGTGTTGGATTATCCTCATTACGTAGGTGACGAAACTAAGGATCAGAGAATCAAATAAGCTCAAATCTCAAAATTGCAAAAGTAAAAACTAAGCTGGGTCTAGTAGCACAGGCTACTCGAGAGACTGAGGCAGGGGGATCACAGGTGCAAGGCCAGCCTGAGTAACTTAGGGAGACCCTATCTCCAAATAAAGTATAAAGAGGCCTGAGGAAACAGCTTGGTGATAAAGGACTTTCCCACTATTTGTGAGGCTTTAAAATTCAATCCCCAGTAATGCCTACCACTACCACCAATACCACCACCACACACGACAAACAAAAAACACTTGACTGTGGACCCCAGGCTGTTTGTCTCCAGAGTCCACAACACTCCTTTAACATAAACTCAACATGGCCAAGGCCAGTTCCATGCTTGTGATTTGAGCCAAACATAATGAAAAAGAGTACTTTGGAAGGGAAGATAGTTGGACCACGAATACATTTATTCCTCTAAGAGCACCCTTCTATTTTTAAAATGCTGATCACCAACTCTCAGTAGTTTGTTTACTCCTACAAGATGATTAAAAACAAATAAAAACGAGACAAGTAGAGCAATTTATCAGTAGGCTGCAAGTCATGGAGCACCAAGATGCAGAGGATCAACTTGGGATTGGAGTGCTAAGTGCCCACAGAAGGGGAGCACACACCCAGCACTGCTCACAGACTGACACACACCCAGCACTGCTCACAGACTGACGCACACTCAGCACTGCTCACAGACTTACGCATACTCAGCACTGCTTACAGACACACACCTAGCACTGCTCACAGACTGACACATACCCAGCACTGCTCACGGACTGACGCACACCCAGCACTGCTCACAGACTGACGCACACTCAGCACTGCTCACAGACTTACGCATACTCAGCACTGCTTACAGACACACACCTAGCACTGCTCACAGACTGACACATACCCAGCACTGCTCACGGACTGACGCACACCCAGCACTGCTCACAGACTGACGCACACTCAGCACTGCTCACAGACTTACGCATACTCAGCACTGCTTACAGACACACACCTAGCACTGCTCACAGACTGACACATACCCAGCACTGCTCACGGACTGACGCACACCCAGCACTGCTCACAGACTGACGCACACTCAGCACTGCTCACAGACTTACGCATACTCAGCACTGCTTACAGACACACACCTAGCACTGCTCACAGACTGACACATACCCAGCACTGCTCACGGACTGACGCACACCCAGCACTGCTCACAGACTGACGCACACTCAGCACTGCTCACAGACTTACGCATACTCAGCACTGCTTACAGACACACACCTAGCACTGCTCACAGACTGACACATACCCAGCACTGCTCACGGACTGACGCACACCCAGCACTGCTCACAGACTGACGCACACTCAGCACTGCTCACAGACTTACGCATACTCAGCACTGCTTACAGACACACACCTAGCACTGCTCACAGACTGACACATACCCAGCACTGCTCACGGACTGACGCACACCCAGCACTGCTCACAGACTGACGCACACTCAGCACTGCTCACAGACTTACGCATACTCAGCACTGCTTACAGACACACACCTAGCACTGCTCACAGACTGACACATACCCAGCACTGCTCACGGACTGACGCACACCCAGCACTGCTCACAGACTGACGCACACTCAGCACTGCTCACAGACTTACGCATACTCAGCACTGCTTACAGACACACACCTAGCACTGCTCACAGACTGACACATACCCAGCACTGCTCACGGACTGACGCACACCCAGCACTGCTCACAGACTGACGCACACCTAGAACTGCTCACAGACTGACACACACCCAGCACTGCCCACAGACTGATGAACACTCAACACTGTGCACACACTGACACACACCCATCACTGCTCACACAGACGCACACCCAGCACTACTCACACACCCATCACTGCTCACACACTGACACACACCCAGCACTGCTCACACTCAGCACTGCTCACACACTGACGCACACCCAGCACTGCTCAAACACTGTAGGGTCTCACACCCCACTTTTGATCATCTAACTGCTAGCCCAGTTTCAGTTTATTTTACAGTTGAAAATAAGGAATCACCCAAGTGAGATATCCTTCACCACACTGATGAAAACTGACAGATTAAATACAGAACTATCCACACTCCTGTTCTCAAATATTAAAAATACTTCATACTAGCATGCAGAGAACACCCTGTTCTGTTATGTCCTACACAGTTTTGACTCCCCCTTTTTGATAATTTTTTCCATTTCTTCTGAGATTTTTCCTTTGTAGTCATTTGGTTCGATTGCTTTTAACTTCTCTTGATAGTCCAGTGGTAAAGCATTTTCTTTTGCACCCATGCAAATAACCTAGAAATAGTTAAAACAAAGAATCTCTTTAAGTTAGGAGCATAATTATGTATGCCATAGCTTTGTTTGTACTGCAAATGTCCCATATATTAGTTTCAGATAACTAAAGAATAGATCATGGAGCTGGAGAGATGGCTCAGCAGTTAAGAACACTGGTTGTTCTTGCAGAAGACCCAGGTTTGGATTCCAGCATCCACATGGCAGCTAATAACTGTCTGTAACTCCAGTCCCAGAGGATCCAATAGCCTCTTCTGACCGAGGGCATTGCACAGCATGGGTGCACGTACCTACATGTAGGCAATACACTCATACACATAAAATAAAAATAATAAATAATTTTTTTAAAAAAAGTTTTTTTTAAAAAAGAATAGATCATTTGAAAGCAAGATCTGAACATAGCCAGCTGATTTGCAAATACAGGCGTTTTCAAAGCCTCTTGAAGCACTTTCAGAGAACATCAATTTTACTCAATAACGTGGTTTAAAATATTTTTATATTAATACAAAAATGGTTCTTTTGTAAGAATTTACATGACATTTAAAGAAAAACTACATTCTTCGAAAGCAGGTAAAACAGGGAACAGACTGGATTTCAGTCCCACTGTCTACTTTTTCTCTGAACTAGACATAGAGAACAAAGGGGCAACTGTTACGTAGCTCTTTCAAGATCCTTGCCAGGCTATTTACTCTAGGCTCCATATCAGAGGCTCAGGACCTACCTATATTGCTCTCTACAGCAGCCCAGTCCCCAGTGGGCCTGTGAGGGTTTCTAACAAAGGACATGGGGCCTTCATTCCACTTGGGTCTTTGGCTTGCAAGGCTGGGTTCCCTGGTTCTAAAAGGTCCAGTGCTAGCTGGGCGTGGTGGCACACTTTAATCCCAGCACTTGTGAGGCAGAGGCAGGTGGATCTCTGTGAGTTTGAGGCCAGCCTGGTCTACATAGTGAGTTCTAGGCTAGCTGGGACTATAGGGAGACACCGTTTTCAAAAAAAAAAAAAAAAAAAAAAACCCAATAAATAAATAATAGTCCAGTGCCCTGTCCATTTAGGGATGGAAAACATTTCAGTACAAGAAAATACATTTTCCCCATTAAAAATGAAGCTTTTTCATGAGATACTGTCTATTGAGGAAAACAGTTATAAAAGTACATGGATACTGGGCTGGAGAGATGGCTCAGGGGTTAAGAACACTTGCAGAGAATCCAGGTTGGGTTTCCAGCACCAACTATTTGTAACTCCAGTTCCAGGGGATCTGGCGCTCTCTTCTGGCCTGTACAGGCACTGGATGCTTACGGTATACTTGCATACATGCATGCAGGCAAAACACTCATACACATAAAAATAATAAAATCTCTTTTTAAAAAAAATAAAAAAGTGGGGCTGGAGAGATGGCTCAGCGGTTAAGAACACTGTTCTTGCAGAAGACTCAGGTTCACAACCCAGCACCCACATGGCAGCTAACAACTGTCCGTAACTCCAGTTCCAGGGGATCCGACAGCCTCTTCTGTCCTCCACAGGCATCGCACGACACAGGTGCAGTTACCTATGTGCAGGCAGTACACACATACACATAAAATAAAAATAATAAGTAAAAATGTAATAAAAAGCACATATATAGAGTATATATATTAAAAATACCGTGTGTGCATTTCTACTTTAAAAAGGAAAATGCACATTTGAAATTTTTTTTTGTTGTTGTTTTTTTGAGTCAGGGTCTCCCTATAGCCCCAGCTGACCTGGAACTCACTATGTAGATAAGGCTGGTCTGGAACTCACAGAGATCCATCTGCTTCTGCCTCCCGAGTGCTGGGATTAAAGGTGTGCACCACCACATCTGATCTGGAATTCTTAATTACAGAAATTTTGAGCATTTTATAATAAAGTTTTAAAAAGCATAGTTCTATTAATACACATAAATTTGAGCATGGTTTTTCTGTGGTGCTCAGCTTAGGAACGTACTCTACCATTGAACCTTAGTCAAAGAGATTTTTTAAAAATTTCCCTTTAAGTAAATAACTATCATTTTTATAATTAAAGCAGTCTGATTAAAACTATGTTTATACAGAATTTAAAATACGTAAAGCCTTCTCATAATGAGATGCTTTTTAGTTTATCTCAATGAAAATGTAGAAAGTTCACCAGAGTTTACGTAGCTTACCTTTTTATACTGTGGTGACGGTGGTGCACTCTCATAATTTGTCATCAGGTAACTTCGACAGGTTATTTCTTTCCCTTCTGGAGTTGAAACTTTGATTTCTATCACAACATATACTCCACTTTTAACCCCTTCTTGCCTGAAACCAAGAACCATATTTTAGCCATACAGACTTAGAAAATTTGGTTTATATCTTAACCAAGTTGAGGTAAAGGATTAAAAATTAATCTACATGGACATATTTGCTCCCTGTGTGCTTGGAATATAGAACTCATAAACATTAGCATAGCAAAAATATTCTTCGTGTTTGAATTAGGAAGCCTGAGGCCTAATACTGTAGTCAGCTCTCCAGAAGCTCACAGGTTCTGTAAATGTAAATTTAGCCAACCTTAAGATTGAATTTTTTAAATTTTTAAAAATTTATTTATTTTTATTTTATGTGTATGAGTGTTTTGCCTCCATGTGTGTAAGTGTACCCACACAGTGCAGTGTCCCCAAAGGTCAGAAGAGGGCATCAGATACCCTGGAACTGGAGCTACAGACAGTTGTTAGCTACCATGTGGGTGATAGAAACTAGTGCTTTTAGCCACTGGGCCATCTCTCCAGATCTATATCTATCTATCTATCTATCTATCTATCTATCTATCTATCTATCTATCTATATATATATATATCGCCAGGTGTGGTAGAGCACGCTTTTAATCCCAGCACTTGGGAGGCAGAGGCAATCAGAACTCTCTGAGTTCAAGGCCAGCCTGGTCTACATAGTGAATTCCAGGCTAGCTGGGGCTACAGGGAGACCCTGTCTCAAAAAAGCCTAAAAATATTTTTTAAAAATCAGGTCTAAACTAAACATATACAGATTTTTTTCTTTTCTTTATTCCCTTAATAGGAAGTTGTTAACAGTGTAACAATATTTACACAGCATTGACACTGCGCTAAAGTAACCTAGAGATGATATAAGCAGTACAGGTAGATTTATATGCAAATATTATGCAATTTATAAATGGGACTTGAACCTCTGCAGATTTGGGTATGTTTTCAGAGATCAAAGCAATATCCTCTGAATACTGGGGGGAACCTCTACTTGGTGCACTGCTAAGCAGACCTCTAAGCATTTATCCATCTGAAACATGGTTCAATATGCTAGCTTCTATCTTTAAGCCCCTGAAGCATTGTTCTTTACAATACAGAGCATGGATTCCACAGCAAGAGAATATCCACCTAGAGAAAAGCAGAGGGGACTGCTTCCTCTAGCTGGAGGCTGAACATGGCATGGTAGACAATAAGTTCTTTTCAAGGTCAACTCTTGCCTGACAGATCGCTTTGTATTAAGTACTCTGTCACCCAACTCTGAGAATTTCAGTTCTGCTATGCTGTTAAATGCTTGTACAAATTATAATTACCTATGATTCATTCAACTGAAACCTCTAAGAATTTTTAAAAACCTGAATCAACTTGCTTTCAAAATCAACAAAATATATAACAATTACAAAAATGTTCATGCCTTTTTTACAATATGAAACTAGAAACAGAAGTTTTAATAGAAGACAAACAAATAGAACAAAAAAATTAAGGGCTTCCATTTCTTTTTTACATGAGAGATTACAAACATAGCCCCAATCTCAATCAAATTGTGTGGCCTTCCCAAACTTTTCAATAAACTCGCATTATTGTAGCTATGACTCTGAAGTATAAAGAATAAGTCTACATCATATACACAAATGCATATCAATATAATCCACTTTCTGAGTTACTTATTTCTTTAACTTATAATTAGAAGCCACGTACTCATCTAGAGAACTTAAATTGCTTTTGTTCATTTTCCACACCACTCCCCACACTTCATCGCCAGGACTTTGAAAAATGGTAGCTATACCTCCATGCCACCTCTCACTTGTTTTGCCTTGGAAATTGCCAAAGTCAAGCTTAAAGTCCTGCAGAGAAACCAAAGCAAAATGATCAATATCTATTTGAACATGAATTTCCATCTTCAAAATAAAAAGGATTTACCTTGACTTCCATGAAAGTAAAACAGTCAATAAATTTTGCATTTCTTTTGTGTAAGAAGCTGTGGAGAATACAAAGTTAAACAGACCAAGACCCAGATCTCAAGGACTATATTTTTTCTTATTTTCCTTTAAAAATTAAGATACACAAGCATTTTAACATTTAAAAAAAAAAGCCTTAAGGAAAAAGATCCTGCAACCACGTATACTACACAATAGCTTTCATTTTTTGCAAACTACTTCTCAATCTACTTACACGCACAGATATTTTTATTTAGAGAAGCTGGGTGATGGTTACACAGGAGTTATAACATACTTTTATGTCTGTAGAGTATCTCACCTGCCTGTATCATTATATCTGCCCTAAAGGAGCTGGCATTTTTATGAACATTAATCTTCATGAACTATACCAATTTATTCTCAGTTACCATAACAACAGCTAATACCTACTGAAAAATTATGGGATGCTATATGTACCAGCTATACTTTATGTGGACAATCTCCTTTTATCTTGTAGCAATGTTATTTACAGCAGAAAAACAACAGCTTAGAAGGATTACACCACTTCTCTAAGGTCTCATAACTAATAAACAATAGAGCCACATTTCTAGTTTAGTTGCTGCTCTCAGTGATGGGCAATCAGGGGGTGAGGGTGCTGAGGGAGATCACACATTTGTACTTGACTTGTTTGGCCTGGTAAAATGTCTTTCCATCTCTCCAGGGCTTAATTTCCTTAACAGTAAAATAAAAAGAGGGACTTGATGACAATGTTGTGGTCCTTTCTGGGTTTATACTTTATCCCTGTCACCTATGTTTTCTAAAAACCTTGTTAGATATTTCAGGAGAAAGGCTGGTCCAAGTGATCAGGATCCTCAAGTAGCATACTGGATGTTCCAGCATCAAGCATCCCTGGCAGGATATCAGCAGATTTGATCAGAGTTACAGCCCACACCAGGGACTGGCAGTCTGTTTCTACACCCAACGGATAATTTTCATTCCCTATCTTGTTGCATGCTTCAGCTGCTTGTGGCACAAATAACCACCCTCTCTTTACTGGCCCCTTTTTCTGATTTGAGGCTGTCCCTGATCTCACCTCCCTTTGCCAATGCCTCCTCCACGCCTCCATCTTGAAATGTCAGGATTTCTTGGGGTTCAGCCTAGGCCCCTTGAGCTAGTCATTCAGCAGTGTGCCTAGAATAGTCTCACCACCCTCCAGCAGCTTCAAACACCATCTCAAGCTTCAGTCACCTTGAAAAATCAGCCCACATCTCTGAGTCTCAAAAGCACTTAAAACAGGGCCCAGCACACAGCTACTACCATTAATAATTTTCTGTTCACTTGGCTATCTAGGGAGCATCCTAAACTGGATTACGTTCAAAGTGAGCTTATGAATTTTCTCTTGCAAACCTGATGCTCCACACCTGTAAATATCACCACCATACCATCATCTACCTGGTTGTGCAAAAACTTGAGTCATAATTGGTATCTCCTTCCTTCATACTCAATCACCAAGCATTAATGATGCTATCTTCTAGGTGTTGTCCAAAGTCATCTACCTCCCCTGCCACCACCCTATCACCTCACAGTGGCATTATGAACGTTGCAAATATTCCTTAACTGGGCTTCTAATACCCACTCTTGCCCCCCTTCAAACCTGCTTTGCATAGTGACCAGAGGGAGCTTTCAAAGATATAAATCTGATCACTGGCTTCCATTCTGCAAAGATTCTTCTCTCTGCCCTCAAGAAACCACCCAAAGTCTTTTATTTGGACTCTGGTTCTGTTAGGATGTGGCCCTTTTGTATCTCTCCAGTCCCTCTACCAAATATTCCTCATTAGATTCTAGACACACTGGCTACAACAAGCTCTTTCCTCGGGTCCTTTGCACAAGCTGTTCTGTATTCTTTACTCTCCACTTCTTCATCAGGTCTCAGCTTAAAAGTCACGTTTTCAAGGAGGGCTTTCTTGAGCATGCTGGTCAGGTCCTCCGGTCATATATTCTGTTGCATCTTGCATGTCCCTCTTTTTTTTGTCTTTTTGAAGCAGGGTCTCCCTGCAGCCCCAGCAGTCCTGGAACTCACTATGTAGACCACCCTGGCCTTGAACTCACAGAGCTCTGCCTGCCTCTGCCTCCCAAGTGCTGGGACTACAGGCCTGCACCACCATGCCCGGCTGCATGTCTCCTTTTTAAAGGCTGACCATACCTACAATCTAATCATTTGCTGGGTGTTTCTTTTCCATGCTTTGACTATAAGTGTTTGAACTCCACCTGGGACACTTCCCATCATATACAAGTCTGCAGATAGGGAGGACGGAGTGTGACTCTCATTTTTGAAACTTCAAAGGCCAGAAGTTGTTATCATATTGGCTTGCAGTTGGGGCAGAGGAACATGGTGAGACTTAGACAATCTGCACACTGACCAGAGTTACTGTTACTGTTTAAGATCCTCAGGGACTCCACTCTGGTGGTGGCTGACATATTACCAGGGTTTCAGGAATTGCAGGACTGTGGCTCAGCAGCAGGCAGGGTCCAGCTCCTCATTCAAGTTTACTGGTTCAGCAACGGTGTAGCAGTGGTTCCCTGGGCTGTCCTGTCCTGTGATGCTGGCTGTTCCACGGGTGTCTGAAAAGCCCCCACTCCCTATGCCTGCTGGTTTTGTCAGCTCTGTAACACTGGATTTTCGGGCCATCCCATGAGCGCTCTAACAGCCTTACAACACTTTGGTTCTTTAATCAATCAGTTTCTCTTGCTTCGAACCAAGAACTCTGACAAGGCTGACAGAGATCACGTGTCTAGTTCAAAGGTGTTGCAGACTGCAGACTGGAAAGTTCTGAAAGTAGCAATGCTGATGGATCAAAGGAACATCGACTGAATTAGCGAATGGGCTGTGATCAACAGCAATAGTTTACCAAAGGTTTAATCCTCTCTGCTCAAGTTCATCCAGCTACCGGCCTTAACTAAGCACTGTGGTTCCTAAGGGGACAGGACTCCAGGTCTCAGGACCCGGACCTCTCAAATCAGGAGGAAAAGACGGGTGAACAGAGCTTTACAGTACTGGGGGGCGAGTCCCTTATCAAAGGTACAGAATGGAAAGCAGCTCGGTTCTTGACCCAGAAGTACCAGCGACGATGCCTGCAGGTTGGTGGGAAAGCCCACCCGGTCAATGCGGTGCACAGGGGCAGCCCCAGATGCAGGCCTCGCCCCGCCGTGTCGCCACCCGAGGGTCCAGGCGTACTCCCGCAGAGCCGCACGTAACCCGCTCTCCCCACGCGCTCTCGCGGCTCCCGGCCTCGGGCACAACAGTCAGCCGCGGGGCCGCACTGACCTGCAGACGCGCCACGCAGCAGAACGTGGCCGAGGGGTTTCGGAAGTGGATCCTTTCGGTTAAAAGGTTGCTGCCGTAGGCGAAGTACAGGAACGTCTCCCCCTCCTGGCCCGCGCCGTCCTCGCAGCCCGAGCTCGCCATGTCTGCCAGAAGCCTGCGATAGCCGACCCCAACGAGCCGGGTGCTGGAAGACGGCTGCCCACAGCGGGGTGGGGGAGTGCCCCCCCTGATTGGCTGTCCACGTGAGCCGCCCCCTGTGATTAGCTGGTCTGTACCGCCTCCGCTCCGCCCTCCGCCTAAAGGCTGCCGGGGCCTCTTCCTCATTGGGCAGCGCTCCTCGGCCGCCCTGCCCCCTGCTCAGGGCTCCCTCCGGTTGGCGGCCGTTGTTTGGACGTTCCCAGCCCAAGAGCCCCGGCAGGCGCGGGGGCTTCTCCTGTAGGGGTGGTGCCCGCGTTTATTCCGCACCTCCTGGCTTGGGAGAGCGCTGGGCTGATCTGGGCAGAACTCTCCCACGCTCCGCCGGTCCTAGGGTGGTACTATAGCCCATGCAGGACAGTCCTCCAGCCTCAGCCTCCCAAGTGTGGCTGGCGCTAAGGGAGTCTCCAGTCTGGGTGCCCGGAGCTCTCTTCCGGGGATGAAATCATGATGTGGCGTTGACTAGCGACTCAACTCTGTGCACCTTTGCTGTTTCCTTTTCCAAAAATAGGGCTCACAGAAACCCTCCATGTTGTTAATTTTGAAATGAAAATATATGAACTGAAGTTCCAGAAATAATGACTGTACTTGGGACCCAGATACTGACTTCCGAATACAACGCCACACTAACGTGCCAGGTGGAAAAATGGCTGAAGTCAGGTCAAACCTGGGAAGGAACGAGACCGCTTGGAAGAACATGTGCCAGAAAGAATCCCCAGAAAAAGTTCTTACAAAAGAATCACCCATTAGCCAAAATTAGAGCAATCTGAGCAAAAAAAATAACTGCAAACTATAAAATGATCGTTAGCATTAATATATATGTCATCCCCCCATAGGAAGAAAGTCAAGGAAAAAAGCCTTATACACTATTGGTGGTGACCATTACATCAACTCTCTAACAAGCGGTAGTTTAAGGGGGCTGGAGAGATGGCTCAGCGGTTAAGAGTACTGATTGCTCTTGCAGAGGACCCGGGTTCGATTTCCAGCACCCACATGGTGTCTACGAACCGTCCTTAACTCCAGTTCCAGGGAATCCGACGCCCTCTTCTGACCTCCGCGGTATTGCACGACACGGGTGCACTCGCATACATGCACGCAATACACTTGTACACATAAAATAAAAATAATAAAAGTATACATATTTTAAAAAGTGGTAGTTTAAGAAAAACGTTTATTCTACCTTTCTATACCAACTATATTTCTGGGAAATCAAATAGCATTAGCTGACTGGGAAGCAGTTCTCTATAAAAGTATGCCAGCTAAATAATGGAAAACGGGGATGAAACTACCTTCTTTCTGTCCCTGACAAACAACTCGTGCCAGGAACATCAGTGAAAGTGCTTGGTGGAAAAGCCATGGAGGGGAGTGGGATGGGGGTGGAAGTGGGGTGGAGGTTGAGGGGTGCTTATCAAGTTATTCCCCAGAGATTACTAATAATACTCAGGGCAAAAACACTGCTATCCAGGAACCTGGCCTGCCTACCTGATCAATCTGATCACCAATAAAAGCAGACCAAACTAACACTGTCTTCTGCTGTGATGTAATGCGAACGGCGAGCATAGTATTTAAAACACTATTTACAAAACTCTTTAACCTCCACGTAAGCCTTTTATATTAATCCTCCTGTCTCAGGAACTATTCATATGGAAGAACAAATGACACCAAGAAGAAACAACCAGAAACACCTAGAACAGATGGGGAGGGGGGATACCCTACTGAACAAATGGCCCAGTCTCTTAAATAAATTTGTGACTAAAAATAAAGTAAAAGATAGGATTGGGGCTATTGAGATGGCTCAGTGTGTAAAGGTGCTTGCTGCCAAGCCTGAAGACCTGAGCTTGATTCCCAGGACCCACATGGTGGGAAGAGAGAACCAACTCCTACAATTTGTCCTCTGACAGCCACACATGCCCTCACACAGACACACAGCAAATAAATAAATAAATAAATAAATAAATAAATAAATAAATAAATAGTGATAAATTCAAAAGTAAGATTAAGGGAGGCTGTTCTAGTGTAAAACAAACTTGAGGCATGAGAAGAAAATGTAATGGCCTGTCTTTGATTGATTCTGGTTTAATAACTAAAGCTATTTTAGGAACAATTGAAACTTGAATTTGGATTGGCGTATTAAATGGTTTTAAAGGATTGTTATTGCCGGGCGTGGTGGCACACACCTTTAATCCTAGCACTCAGGAGGCAGAGGCAGGCAGATCTCTGTGGTTCCAGGCCAGCCTGGTCTACATAGTGAATTCCAGGCCAGCTGGGTCTACAGGGAGACCCTGTCTCCAAAAGACTGGAAAAAAAAAAAAAGAAAAAAAGAGATAGTTATTGGCTGGGATAATGGTTTCGTGTTTATGTTGGAAAATGGCTTTGTTTTAGCATGACATATTTGGAATGAAATATTCATCATATTTTTAAATAATTCAGAAAAATTAAAACCACAATTAAATGTAATTGGAGTGATGTGCATATAGATGTTCATTATATTGTTCTTTTCTTTATCTTAAGAAGTAAAAAGAGAAAAAAGGTAAGCACATGGCATAAAGTGTGCCTCAATAAGCAATCACATTATTGTTGTACAGTCTACAGGTAGGAAGATTCTGCCTCCTCCCACTCCACCCAGCAAGGCAGAACATATGGTTGGTCAGGGAGCAAGGTGGTTGTCTTGGCAAACATGCTTGATATTATCCTCAGTTCTGATTCAAAGCACTACCATTTAATGCTCTGTTTTAAGAGTTACTTGTAACTATCTAAAATGTATTATTAGGGTTTTAATATAAGATTTATGGCGCTAGAGAGATGGCTCAGCTGTTAAGAGCACTGACTGTTCTTGCAGAGGATCCAGGTTCAACTCCCAGCACCCACATGGAGGCTAACAATCATCTGTGACTCCAGTTCCAGGAGATCCAACGCCTTCTTTTGACCTCCAAGGGCATTGCAAGACACGGTGCACTTACACACATGCAAGCAATACACTCAAAACATAAAATAAAAATAATAAAATATAAAAATAAAATTTTTTAAAGTTTTATTATTTGTGTCACTCTTTGTGTGTCTGTGTATACACATGTGTGCAGGTGTCCACCAATAATACAGAAGCAGACTTCGGCTCAACAAAGGAAGACTTGAGTTTCAGAAGAGGGTTTTGGATCCCCTGGAGCTGGAGTTACATAAAGTGGTTTAAACTGCTTGATGTGGGTTCTAGGAACTGAGCTCAGAAAGGGCTCTTAACCACGGAGCCATCTCTCCAGTCTCTATTTATGGTTTTATTATTGTTGTTTGTTTGAGACAAAGTTTTGCTGTGCAGTCTAGACTGACCTCGAACTCACTATCCTCCCACCTCAGCAGCCCAAGTACTGGGGATTACAATCAAGTACCACCATACCCAGCAACTTCTTTTAAAAGTTTTTTTCCTTCCTATACTTCTTGCTAATTATTCTCCACACTATTTTATAAAAATAATTTTTTTTCTGAAGTTAAGCATTAGTATTTCCTTAAACATTGATGATATTGCTTACTCCAAACATTTATTTACCAATCCCCATGGAGAATGTGCTGTGTACATCAATATTAGCCTGCAAGGGGCAGTAGGTAGCAAGGTTAGTTCTGGTTTTTTGTTTGCTTTTCCACTGTAACTAAAACAAAGTTAATATTAGTTAACACCCACTGAGCCCTTATGAACTGTGAGGCACTGTCCTACATCTGTGTATGTATTAACTCATGTATTCCTGAAAACGGCCCTGTCAGAAGGCACTAATATTATGCAGTTACAGAAAAAGACACTCAGGTATAATAAGTTAACTAACTTGCTCCATGCTGTAGTTAGCAAGAACTGAAGCAGAGATTCTACCCCAGGTCTCTCTCCTGAGTCTCTACTGGGTGCTACCTCCCAAAATGCCCTCAGCTGAATCACCCTTGCACTAAAGATATAAGTAGTTAATAATAACCCACTTCCAGGTAAACCTTCAGTGTTATATTTAAAGATATTATGCCTGACGTGGTGGTGCACACCTTTAATCCCAGCACTGGGGAGGCAGAGGTAGGTGGATTTCTGTGAGTTCAAGGCCAGCCTGGTCTACACAGTAAGTTCCAGAACAGCTGAGGCTACAGGGAGGCCCTGTCTCAAAAAGACGGAAAAAAAAATATGAAACAATAACTTTGGCTCCCAGTTACTTGATAATAACAGGACCAGATTTCTCCCAAATGTCAAATTTCTTTTCTTTTCTTTTTTTCTTTTCTTTTCTTCTTTTCTTTTCTTTCTTTTCTTTTCCTTCCTTCCTTTCTTCCTTCCCTCCTTCCCTTCTTTCCTTCCTTCCCTCCTTCCTTCCTTCCTTCCTTCCTTCCTTCCTTCCTTCCCTCCTTTCTTTTCAGTCCATTTTTGGACTCCAGCTGGCCTGGAACTAGTTCTGTAAACCAGGCTGGTCTCAATCTCACAGAGATCCACCTGCCTCTGCCTTCCAAGTGCTGGAATTAAAGGCATATGCCACCAGGCCTGGCTTTTAATCCAATTGTCTCTCAAGTTTTTGGACTGTATCATTAAAATTTGTGCATGCACAGATATAATTACATATATTAGTATGTGACTATATACACGTAATAGATACATATAATAGTGTTATCACATTATAAGTGTAACATCATGTTAACTTATTTGTACATTAAAAACTAAAATACATTATACAATAACCACAAAATATACATTTAAAAATAAACTATTTTAATTATCATGTAAATTGTAATATTTCATCTCTGGCCAATCTCAAGGCAGTATAAGTTAAGGTCAATTATAAATAATGGATGGAGCAGACAGACTAAGAGTGCCTGGATCCAGCCACCATGTGGTAGTGAGCTTTGCCAAATTATGCTGTGCCCAAACCCTTAATAATGACCATGTGAGGCCCCCTCCCACTTCACCAGGGCTAGAGTTTCTACCCTACAGGAGAGGCTAAGACCTTAGCAGACTGCCTGAGAGTGCCCAAATCAGGCTCCCTTTAGTGAATTTCCCAAATTGGGCTGTGAGTGCCCACTAGTAAATGTTAGAAGA